CTATATCAGAAGTTTCAGTATACAAAATCAGCCAGCATACGCCATTATATACTAAAGAACATGCTAGCGAATGTAAAAATGATGGTTGTATCAACTGATATAGAAATAGCATTAGACAAAATATTCTTATACAATATTTAAAAGTCTCAGAAAAGCAGAACTTTAGGGAGCTTCCTTCATTTGATGAAGACCATTCATATGAAATCCTATGTGGGCTGGGCAGTGGTGGCACACACCTTTAATCCCAGCACTTGGGAGATGGAGGCAGGCAGATCTCTGAGTTTGAGGCCAGCCTGGTCTACAGAGTGAGTTCCAGGACAGACAGGGCTACACAGAGAAACCCTGTCCCCCCCCCCAAAAAAAAAAAGTAATGTCTAGGATGTCTGCTCTCACCCTTGTCAACACAGTGAACATTTTTAGCCAGCACAGTAAAATATGGAAAAGATTGTCCATTTTTACAGATGGCATGATTGTTCATGTAGACAAACCCAAGAGATTTATAGAACTTCACAGGTGAGCTCAACAAATTTGTAAGACATAAGCTCAATGCAAAAAAAAATTTAGCTATGTGTTAAAAAAACTCATAATCAGCTCACATATACAAAATTAAAAATACAATACTAGGGGCTACTGGGATGAATGGCTCAGTGGGCAAAAGTGCTTGCTAAATAAGCCTGACAACTTAACCCAGATCCCTAGAACTGACAGATAAGTTGATCTCTGACCTCCATAGGAGGGAATGAAATAAGTAGCACATATGCCCCTTGTGCTGCCAGTTAGACAGACAGATAGAAAGACAGATAGACAAACAGACAGGCACACATAAAACAAAATGTTTTTTTTTCATACTTTACATCCAAAACACAATGTACACAAATATAAATAATATGCTTTAGTACCATTAAAAGGGTACTTAAGATAAAAGGGTAAGTTACGTATGGGGAGGAGACATTGGCAAACCACATAGGAGTAGCATCTGGAATATGTAGACCCCTCAATAGACCATAGAAAACAAATGAAAAACCTCAAAATCAATTTAAAAATGGGCTGAGTGTTTCAATGAACATTTCTATTATGGATATAAAGAAACAGTCAAGAAGCAAAAGGATGCTCAACACCATCAGTCATTAAGGAATCAAAGCCAATCACAGAGGGTGCTACTTCTCACCCAGTGGAATGGGTCTAGTGAGTAAAAAGCAGAATAAGATGAAAAATATTGTCCATGGTGAGAGGAACTGGAACCCTTGTGTGCAGCAGGGGAGTAGGCAAGAGTGCAGCCCTAATGGAAAACAGCATGTTTCCTCTGAACAATGCAGACTTAACATGTGATCCACTTGATTATACAACCCTGCCCAAACTGAAATGGTCTGAGGTATTTAAATATCTATGTTCATAGCAGCATTACCTGAAATAGCCAAAAGATAGAAGCAATCCAAATGTTTACCAACCAATGAGAAGAGAAACAAACGTAGTATGTATGTCTAATAGACTACCTAGTCACTCTTACACAAGGAAGGAGAGGCTGGCACATGGCACTATGTGGATGGATCTTGAAACATACTTTCAAAAGGCTAAGGGAAATTAGCTACTCCCTGAAAGACAAATCTCAACCACACCAGGCATCTAGAATAGTCAAAGTCATAGAGAAGGGAAGCAAAATAATAGTTACTAGGGGTTGGAGGTGTGAGGAATGAAGAATTATTGCTTAATGGGTCCAGAGCTTCAGTTTTAAAAAATCAGACACTCAATGCTGCATAAATACATAAACCTTAACAATTAAAAATGACTATAAGGGAAATATGTTTATTTATTGGTTTTGTCTTTTTTGGAGCTAAAGTCTTAAAATGTAGTCCAAGATGCATATTCCCATAAAACCTGCATGTGTACATTTATATCTATTTATCTACTTAATATCTAATGTATACATCTATATATCTATATCTAATACACACACACATATAATGTATAACGTAATACATGATCATTTTTATAGATATTGGGCTAGGGATGTAGCTCACTTGGTACAGTGCTTGCCTAACACCCATGAGGCTCTGGGTTTGATCCCAGCCAGCATTAATTAAGCTGGTCATGATGACATATACCTGTAATCCTAGCACTTGGGATATGGAGGCAGAAGGATTAGGCCTTCATCCACACAGCAAGTTTTAGGTAGCCTGAGATACATAAGACTGCCTGTGGGGAGGGACTCGGGGGAGCATGAAGAAATTGTCTACTTAAGGTCACAGATATACCATCTGAGTGTCAGCAATGGGATTCAGTTTTAAATCATGATTCCAAAACTAGGGGTTTGAAAAGCCTCTGCGGTGGTGACTATAATACTTGTGGGGGAAAAATGCACAAAACCAGTACATACATCTAAGGAAAACTAAATATTGGCTTATCAATCCTTTACCAATACTTACTTTGAATATCGAACCATCGGGGCACAGACTTTTATCAGTTGTCCAGAATGAAACATTTCCATCGGGTCTTTTCTTCTTTCTTGACATATCGTGGTTGGTATGGAGTCACTCCTCATGTATATCAGTTGGTTTCAAGTCTGAAAAAGACGGTTTGCAAAGAGAATTATGCGTCTCACTATTTGAAATCCGCATCACTGGGCTGGTCACGTAGCTCTGTTGTATGGTAGGATGCTCCCTGCATGTGGCAGCCCCTGGGTTTAATTTTCAGTTTTGGAAAAAACCCGAAAATCCCGATTATTCTTGTAATTACATTTATGAGTGTATGTACTCAGATATCATTCTGGTTTCTTTCCTCTTTTTTCAATAAAAGAAGATCTTGCCAAATTCTGCCTCTACTTACTTTACTTATCAATAAATGTGAAAAATTGTACAGGGTAGTTTTCGAGAAGATATGGAAAACCACTAGGTTTTCCCCCTAGTGTGTGTCATGCTACAATTTGGTTGTTACTTTTTTGCTTAGTTTTTGAGACAGGATCTTGCTACATACCCAGGCTAGCTTAGATAATTGCCAAGCTAGCCTTTGCGGTACTGGGTTTACAGTGGTGTGCCTCCATGCCCAACTTCATATTAGTTTTTCATTTCACGCATTTTACTTTCATGAGAAACCAAGGAATCTGACTTGAATTACCTTCCATACAATCCTTTGTATAATGGACAATCTGAAAAACTGTATTTGGGAAAGTTAGGTGGCGTTAATAGAAATTTGCATTTCAAAATATGTCCCGGTATTTTGGGGCTGGAGAGACACCTTAGTAGTTAAGAGTATAGACTATTCTTGCAGAGGATCTGAGTTTAGTTCCTACCACCCAGGCTGGGAGGATCATGGCCACTTCTATGCTCAGTTTCAGGGGATCCTACACCTCTGGGCTCTGAGGGGACTTGTACTTATATGCATATATTCACCTACAAACATATACACACAATTTTAAAAAAGAAATCTTGATACTTTTATTCTAGATTTTTGTGAATCAGAAGGCAGATAAAACTTTATCATTTTTCAAAATTTAAATATATTGCCAGTGAAGATGTTTAGTTATTACCAAGTAAGTGCACTGTAAATAACTTCTATGCTCGAAGTACAAGTGATAAAATTGTTTAATATTTTCCATGTTGTACTTAAAGCTTTTGACTTCATAGTTTTTGGTTTTTTTATATTCCGTTTAGCCTCTGTAATCTATAGCCAGATAAAAGCTAACCCTATAAAATGCTAATTGTTCAAAATTCAGTCTTTAATGTTTGGCAGTAAGCTAAATGAACACAAGGCCAATATACTTAAGGATGCCATGGCTTGCAAGAAACCTTTGGAAGTGTCAACACTGTACAGAGGAAAAGGGGAGTACAAGTTATCTGAGTCAGAGATGGTCTACATTGATAAAGGAATAAACATGGAGTTACTGTAAACCACCACGAGATTATTACAAAGGAGGGAAGAATCTTAAACATTCCTGAATTGGTACACACTAGGAGGTGGTAAGTGGCAATAGCGTCATACTGACTTTCTAAAGCATGATTTTGTTCTTACTCATTCTTGTGGTCAGACTAAATAACAAAGTCTCCTTCAGTATGAATTTTCTGAATAAGCTATAGCTTTCAATCTTGATAGTAAATTAGGACGATCCAGAAGCTTTTAAAAATCAAGATGCTTAAGTCACACCCAAAATCAAAATAGCTTTCTGGACTTATGGGATGAAGGTATTAATATTTTGTCTTAAAGTTCTCCAAAGCATGCAGCACTGGGCATAAGAGTTTGGTCAAATGTGTTTCTACACCTTGAATTTCTTTTAGAGCATAGATGATTTTTTTTTAAACTTATGCTGGTATGTACAATGGGCGTTAAAAACTTTATTGTATATTAATATGTAGACTAAAGTCAATCCTTTTGTGTAAAGAATAAGAAAGCTAAGGAAAGAAAATTATCCTGTAATTCAGATGTTTTCTCGTGGATGATTATTATAAACAAAGTAGTTTTGTAAATTATGAATACTGAAATCTAATGCAATTCTAGACATGCTGCCTCTGGCAACCGATCCTATTTGCATCGTGACTGAGGTCAAACACATGAGGGAACATCTTCTGAGGCGATGTTAAGGGAATGCAAAATGCAGTGTAACTCCAAATCCTCACCTAATAGTTATGAATATTTAAACGTTTTTATTTCTAAGGTACTTAGGGCAGAGCTTAACAACTATTCTTCCCCAGCATATCTCGCCTGCTGCCCGGGCTTGCCACTCAAGGCGTGGAACAGTTAGGCTGAGCAGCCCTTAGCTAACACGTGCTGGGCGAGGAGGGCCAAGACGCTCCCAGGAGCCTCTTCCCCACGCCGGAGGCCGGCGTTCTCAGGCCCAATGCGTTGGAGATAGGCGAGGTGGCTACGTCCCGAGCAGAATGGGAGAAGGTCCGGGCGGCGACCTTTCTTTCCTTGCATATAGGGAAGGTAGTACTTAAGTCCCCATACTCACCCCGGGCCGGCCAGGTGGGGCGGCGCCTTGATTCTGCGTCACTTGGAGGGCGGGGCGATCTCAAGACGTCATCAATCCGGCACTTGCCAACATGGAAGGTGGAGACAGCACAGTCTCCGCGGCAGGCCGTGGGGCTTCGGGTTCCGCAGCAGTGGCGGCGACCGTGCAGGAGCTCCTGCAGGACGGTAAGGCGTCGGACGGTGGTAGGGCCTGGGTCGCCCTGCCTTGGGCAGAGTCCAAGAATCCTACCGGTCGCGTTGCACAAAGTTTTCCGGTCTGGACTTGGCCACTCCCCTCCGCCCGGCCCCCTGGCGTCCGGGATTGTCCTGGTCCACGCGTTTCCTGGGGGATGTATTCCTCTCTTCTCGTGGTTGTCTTGGGGGGAACACCTGGTATGTAGTTGCTGGGGTTTGCACTCGGTCCTGAAGCGCCCAGGACGTCTCTGTAGTTCCTGGACCCTACACGACGTGGTCGCGGCTGACAGCTGCTGCCTCTGCCCAGTTCCTGACCAAAGATTGTTCTGTCCGTGCCCAGAAGTGTGAACTCACCCTGCTTAAGGAAAGGGATGGAGGATGCAAAAAGTAGAGTTGCAAATACCCGTGTTCAATTCTTGGGCTATGCAGGTGCCTCTTACAGTGTATTATCCATACATGTCGAATACTGAAGTCAGGAGAAATTGACCCAAGTAAGTTAACTATATACCTTTCTAAAACTACTGTAGTACGCTTGAAAAATCAAGTTCAGTTGTATTAATGCTCAATCTGAGAGGCAGAACAAAATTCAGTTTGCTAAAGATATTAGGCCGTAATCACCTCATGTTTTCCCTAGTGAGCACCAAGTTCTATCATCTATTAAAAGTGTTTGCATTTATTACCTTAATTGCTTCTGAGGCCTGGCGCCCCTCCTCTCCCTCTTTTTTCGAGACAGGGTCACTCTAGTAACCCTGACTGTTCTGGAAGACACTATGTATATCAGTCTAGCCTCAGACTCACAGAGATACACCTGCCTCCGTCTACCAACTGCTGGGATCAAAGGCATAGGCTACCAAGCCAGGTATAAGAACCTCTTTTTACATTCCACAGGGTTAAAAGCAGTATTCTGTATACAGTAGGTACAGATTTTGTTTTTTAAGTTGCTACCTAAGAGTGGCTTATAAAGGATCAAACTAAAATTTAAATTATGGTGTTTTTCCTGACTGTTGAATATTTTATATTTCCTTTATCACTATCTTTTCATGAGATATATCATGCCAAGACTAGTGATGTTTTCAGAACTAGGTTGTGGTGGATTCTTATAGAGTTTCTACCTGATGTATCTTATATTTGTGTCTTAGTTGAAATTTAAATTTAGCTAAGTTTCAAAATCCTGAAATACACGTGTGTGTGTGTGCATGTGTGTGTGTGTTTTAATAGCTCTCCAGCCTTTGAGCTTAAACTGAACCTAAAACCATGCTTGCTTTTTTCCTTCTATGGTTTCAAATACAATTAAATAAAGTCTCTACAGTTTAATACAATTAAATCAAGTCCTTTGTCTTAAGGACATTGCCTTCCTTTGTGTTCTGGAGTTTATTCCTATCTAGAACCCAAACACTCCCATTGCATAATGTTAAAGTCACTTAGCAAAGGTCCTCAGTGATTTACCTTGGAGGTAAATCAGATGGACACTTTTAGTTCTTACCCTATTTAAACTTGTTGAAATCTGTTGATGTTATTTGTCATACGATATAAGGGTCCCACACTGTTTGTTTTTCAAGGCATGGTTTCTCTGTGTAGCTCTGGCTGTCCTGGCATTTAATCTGTAGACTAGGCTGGCCTAGAACTCAGAGATCCACCTGCCTCTGTTGTTCTCCCTCCCCCCCATCTTTCTTTCTTTCTATTCCTAAATCTGTAGGTGTCCTTTTCCAGTTTCCCCAGATATACCTGAAACTTGGAACATTTGTTCAGTAACCAGTTCACTGTGTTGAGCGTTTGCCTAAGGATAGGGTTGATAGGCTCAGTGAACAGATGCAGAGTTGGAAAATCTGTGAGCAGTTTCTGATTTTTCTTTTAACTTTTTTGATTCTTTGTGAATTTCACATCATAGACCGCAATCCCACTGATTTCCATGTTCCTCTCTATCTGCGTTCCACTCTTACAGTCTCCTCTTGCTGTGGAAGCTGCGGGTATTCCACAGAATACTCTTTTGTCCACTTCTTTACTTGCAAATGTTCATTGCAATGAGTCATCGGTCTGGTTCGAGGCTTCTGGCTTCTGCTACATTATCTATTCTAGTTCCTCACTGGGACTCCTCTTGGCTATCCTGTGGTTGCCCTGTGTCATGGAGATCCTGCAGTTTTGAATCTGTAGGACGGGCTCCTTCATAAGCTCCAGCAGTTCATAGATGTTGGTGTGAGCCAACTCAAAGCCCTGGATCTGAGCCTGGATGGTAATTGAGTTGGTCAGCCTGCCAGTTCTTCAACACCCACACCAGCAGGGCCAGCTCTCTAGCATTGACCAGGCTAGCTCACCCAGTGCTGCAGCTGCCAAGGAGTGGGGCCAGCTCTTCTGCTCTTACTGCTCAGCAAAGCCAGCTCTGTTGTGCTGCCTAGGTGAGGTGTGGGGTTCCTCTCTCGAGTGCTGCAGCCAGTGAGGGTCTGGGCCAGCTCTGCTCAGCCTTTGGACATCACTGTGGTCCCAGGCAGCAGCTCAGATCAAGGACATCTAGCTGGCCTTTGGTGGTAACATGGGCCATGGTATTGACACAGACCCCTGCTGCTGCATGGCCACAAACCTAGACATTTATTTCCTCACCTCCCTTGAGTTTCCAGTTCTGTCTCTATTCAGAGTGTTCCAACTGTTCTGCTTCTCTTTCTCTCCCATATCTTCACCTTATGCTTTCACATGGTAGATGCTCCCCTGGCAGGCGAGTCATGTGCCAGGCAGGCCTCTGAGGATCTTGCCTCTGGGTCGTGGAGCACTTTCTTAATTGCTAGTTGATACAGTAGAGTCCAGCCCACTCTGGGTGGTGAGCGTTAAATAAGAAAGGTAGCTGATAAAGCCAGGGGAGCAAGCCATTAACAAATGTTCCTCCATGGTTTCTGCTTCAGTTCCTACCCTGAGGTTCTTGTTTTGAGTTTCTGCTGTTAAACCTGAGAATCATGAAGAGAAAAAACCGAATCTACGGTTGTCCAAGTAAAGCAAGCTTTAATTAAATACTGGCTAGGATGATGGACTCTGGTCAGGTCCATCCTGGAGTTCTCAGAGAATGACAGTGAGTCACATTTTGCAGAGGCTTATAGAGGCAAACTCATAAGACAACATATTTTCCACCAGGTAAAATCAGGGGCAAGAATATATCCTGATGTACTTCCTGGCTACATACCACCTGCCTACATCTAATCAAAGGGAAACATGCATGCTGACATATTTCCTTACATACCACCTGCCTACATCTAATCAAAGGCAAACATGCATGCTGACATATTTCCTGCCTATGTATTTTCTGCCTTCATGTAATCAAGTATATTTGGTGCAGTTGGGTCAAACAGACTTGTTTATGGGAGTTAAAACTTATGGCTTGTTGTTTTATATGAACAGCAGTCTCCAGCATCTCAGAAAGTTTCTGTCCTTGGGCAAAGGGCTTACAGGTTAGAGGCATTTATGTTTTATGGCTCTCATAGGCACAATACTTAAAACTTAAAACATAACTTTATAACTCACAATACCTTTGCTTTCCTAATGATAGACTATAACCTGTAAGCTAAAATAAAATTTTTCTTCTACAAGGATCATTGTTTTTTATCACAACAGAAAAACAAACTAAGACAAATTCATCCTTCTCTTCTAAATTATAGAACTATATTTTTAGCCATGCATTGGAATTTCTGTCTTGATAGTGAGCAACATATGAACAAGTAGTACGCTATCTATGAAAGCAGTAAACAAAGTAAGTTTCTTCCTATTCTTGAGTCTTTTTTTTTGATTGTCTGTGTTGCTACTTATGGTTGGTAGTTTGTTAAGTGAGTGCTGACCTATCGTGCAGTCGTCAGGCTCTTGGAGGCAGGGGTTTGTTTCTCATCTTTGTGTACTTAATGCCTCGGGCATCTAGCTTAAAGCAAAACTGAATTCCTTATAGTAGATAAAGAATATTCCATTAATTATAGAACTTGGGAGTTTTCTTTAGTTTATTCTACTGTATCAACTTATCAAGTTCTATTCATTGTCATGTTCAGATAGATAATGGCCAAATATGTCACTTGTTTGAAATTCTTAAGTGACACTATCTTACTTGGACCTTCATTATGTCACTTGGGCTGTTAACACAGTACTGTGCTTTTCTGACTGCTCTGGTTCTTCTCCATGGGAAGATGTGTTGGTGAACCAGCTGTCTTGGAAAGTAAGAAAAGGCCTGGTTTTGTTAGTATTTGTGTATTCTCCATGGTGTAAAACTACCACTACCATGGATGTTTGAAAGACACCTGCACTTATGAAACCAGCTGGCTCAAAAAATTCCTGAAAATGTCACAGTTGGCTATTAAAAGCTAGTAGATACTAACTCAAGTATAGTGCTGTGTGACAAATCCCTTTTTAGGGATGTAGAATCATTGTTGTAGAACACAAAACTGACAGTGGTTTTGTTTAGCTTTAGAATGCTAAGTAACATACATGTTGAATATTTTGCATGTCTTACAGGCCTTTTATCAAGCTGTCCTCCAGCCTTCCTTTGAAACTTCATCCATCTTTCTTTTACATTTTCTGCCTAATGTATACATTCTGTCGTCCTTTTTTACTAGACTTATTATTACCCTTGTCAAATGATGTCATTTTGACATTTTCTGGTGGTAAACCTGTGTGAATCGACTTACATTTTCTGAGAGGATTCTTTTTAAAAAAAAAAAAATTAGATATTTTCTTTATTTACATTTCAAATGTTATCCCCTTTCCTGGTTTCCCCACCCCTCGGAGTCCCTCTATCCCATTCCTCCCCCGCGACACTTCTATGAGGGTGCTCCTCTACCCACCCACCCATTCCTGCCTCCCCCCCCCTCCCGGCACTCCCCTACACTGGGGCATTGAGCCTTCACAGGACCAAGGGCCTCTTTCTGGGAGGATTCTTAGTTATGAGAAAAACTTGGCAAACCAAAAGAAAATGTAATTTTCCGAATTAGGGCCAAAGTAGTAATATTTTATTACTTTAGTTTAAGAATAGTTAGAATGTGAGAATAGTTAAGACTGTTTTGCTCTTAGCACCATGATACTTTCAGATGACAGATTAATTCATTTGATCAGAATTGAGTACCTGCTATTGTCTGGCCTTGTTCAGGCTCTAGAGAGGTGGCATTAAAACAACCTCTTCCCTTGGTGGAGCATGGATTGTAATGAGTATAGACAAGGTCAGTACGTGGTTAGTGTATAGCTCCTGCTTTAAGCAAGTTTTGTGTATCTCATTTCTAGCATTTCATTTTCCTCATTCTTTTTTTTTTATTCAATGGTTTATGGATTCCTTATATACACATTATAATTCTTTTCCCAATATATTTGAATATACCTTTTCTATCTATTTATTTTACCTTTAAGTCTTAAATTTCAATACTACCTATGTTAGTGTTTGCCTATTTGTATTAAAAATTTAGATTCATATTTAGATTAAAAATTAGATTAAAAGTTTAGATTCATGTTATAAAATCTATAACAGTATTTATGTATTATTGATCTAGAGATATCTGAAACAATACATGTTATCAGTAGTCAGTTTTTCTTAAGAATCATTCCTAGCAATAATCTCATTTTCTTGGAAAAAACATTAGAGTTAATAGTTGTGATTTTAATCTTTTATTCAGTGTTTTCCTTCCTTGTGATTCCCTTTAAAAGTATGCATCTAGAAAAACAGCAAATCAGGCAGTACCAATGTATGCTTTAATCCCAGCACTCAGGAGGCAGAGACAGGTGGATCTCGGAGTTCAAGACCATCCTGGTCTTGAGTTCCTGGACAGCCAAGGCTATACAGAGAAACCCTGTCTCGAAAAACCCAACTTAACCCAACCCAACCCAACCCAACCCAACCCAACCCAACCCAACCCAACCCAACCCAACCCACCCAACCCCAAAACCCAAACCCAAATCAAACCCAATGCAAAACAAAACTAAACAAACATAGCAGAGTGGTTCAGAGCCTGGTCACAGCAGCTATACTTTCTGTATTAGAATCACAGATAGTAACATTGGAAAAGTTGCATGCCTGATCTGTACCCGTGATGTGGGGAAAATGAAGTAGTTTCCCCACACATCAGGACTATGGGGATTGAAGGAGTCAGTACTTGGATTAGATGAGCTCCTGGAGCATAGTGCACTCTTGTGGGTATTATCACTTCTGTTCTGCTGCAGCCTGCTCCAGCTCGTTCTCATTGTTCTAGGAAGCATCTACAACATTTCCTAGTGCATAGACGGCCTCAAAACAGATTCATTATGATTATAATTGATCTATTGCTGGATAACTGGTATAATGCAGAGTTGGTAAGTTTTCCTTTATTTTTTTCCTAGACTGTTATAGTGAATTTTTAAATGAAGACTTTGATGTAAAAACTTACACTTCCCAATCTATTCATCAAGCTGTAATTGCTGAGCAACTAGCAAAACTTGCCCAAGGGATCAGTCAGCTGGATAAAGAACTACACCTACAGGTAACATCAGTCTTCTGGATCAAAGAGATTCTTCAGCTGAAAGTGACAGTTTATCTTTTTTGTCATCTCATCATTGTTAAAAACAAATGTTCTATTCCATAAACAAATGCATAACTTACTGGCGTCTCTTAATTACATCTTTGCAAGTTTTCTGTAAATTACTTTTTACTAGTTGAAAACAAATTGACCTACCTTTCTGGAATCATTTACCCTTTCTGTTTATTACCTGAATGTTTTTACAGTGAATGTTTTGGGGAATTAAAAATAGGACACCTTTGGTAATGATAACAGAAAATGGAATTTTGGTAGTAGAAAAATTTGAATAAGGAAAAAAAAAGTTGGGATTGCACAGGCAGTGTTTCCACTTCATTAAATACAAAGTGTAATGCTTGCTGCAATTGTAGAGCGAGGGTAAATGTGGTGATAGGTAGAGCTCATGGAAGCATTAGGAGATGGGTAGTAACCTTAAGTATGCTGTTGTAATTGACCTTCTTATCACTTCCTGTCTTTGAGGTTTTTTTTTTTTTAATGTTCTTTAAGTGAGTTAGAAGTGATTGCAGTAGATAAAGTTAAAGGTCTTTCCTTTTATAATGGATGACTTTTGTAGGATTGCTCTGTGATCTACTTCTTCATTGGTTTGTTGGTTTGAAGCACTGGGGATTGAACACAGGGGCTTGCACATGCCAGGCAAGCACCCTGCCAACTGAGCTTTACTCCAGGTCTCAGTATATGTCTATATTGTGTCTATATTGAGTAGTTATTGAAGAAACACTTAGATGAACTAACAGATTTGTAAATAAATGAACTCTTTACTGGAAAGTCCAGATCTGTCATCTCATGAGACTTACTCATTTAACTTTTTGTGTCTTAGTTTCTTTCTTAGTGAAAAGATTAGCTTAGAATAATTGTGGTGACTTTAAAGTCACTTCAACTTTAAAATTCTCATTACTTGTTTAGAACACAAAATATTTAGAAGACACTTAATGTCAGGCTTTGCGTTAGGCTATTGGGTAGAGAAATGAGAACACATTCCTTGGTTCTCCAAAGACTCTGGGATTAGTGACAGGTACAGACAGGAATAACTGTCAAAGAAATCTGTTTTATATAGATTGGTACAAGGTGTTTTGCAGGAGCAGGGGAAATCAGCTTAAATTCTGCATAGAGTTTCAGGGGGTAGAATTTTCAAGAGACTCTCAAGATTTCTCTCCCTTTTACACTTGGTATTTTTGTTCTTTTATGCAGTACCTCAGTGGTAGGAATTGATGAGAATTTAAAATTAACACTCCTTAGAAGAACAAATTTTATCTATCTGCAGACCTCTCTATCAATCTCTCTGTTTATAGATATGTGAGGTCAGAGTCTCTGAGTTCTAGTACGAGAGCTGAAGCTGTTACAATTTTTTAGAAGCAAACTTTGGATAATGCCCGTCAAATAAAAGAATGAAAGACTGAATAAAATAGTGGAAGCATCAGTGACATGATTAAAATTCCAAAAGACTTATTACTTAATATCCATTACGTCTTAACACAGGAACTAGAATTGACTGTAGATAATGGAAGAAAAAAGCCCCTAACACGTAGGTGTTTATGGAGTTGTCGGTGAACAGAACTGTTGACCTGAAGAAGGTATCGTAGTGGCAAGGACAGAGTATTGTCTCCTGTGTTACTGCTAAAAGTTTGATTCTAGGTTCTTGTGACTAAACACTGGAACAATCAGTATGGTTTCCTCAGCTGTCTGTAAATCTTCAGGTCACTGGTTACTGGCTGAAACAAATAGAAAGGTAGTTTTCACTTTTCTTTTATCTTCTATATCTATTGAAAAGTCATCTGATTGGCAGCAAAGGAGTGTATGAAAGGAGTAATTTTTAGCTTTTCAGCCTTTCCAAAGTATCACCAAAAATAAAAGAGAATAGAAGATTAAAAAAATTATTCTTAAGACAGATTTATTGATGACCATATGAATAATTTGGAGAAAATTTAGTCTTCTGATGGCAACTTTTCTATTGCTGAAACAAAGGACCAAGGCAGTTTATATGTAACAGAACATTTAATTTAGGGGTCATGGTTCCAGAGGGTTGGAGTCCATGCCTAATGCCAGGAAGTATGGCAATAGGCAGGCAGGCGCTGGAATAGCTCAGAGCTTACGTCTGGCTCTATAAGCATGAGGCAGGGAGCTAACTGGGAATTATGTGGGCCTTAGAAACCTCAAAGCCTACCCCCAATGACATTCCTCTTCAGACAAGACCACACCTCCTTCCCAAACAGTTCCATCAACTGGGGACCAAGTATTGAAATATATGAGCCTTTGAAGATAAAAGACGAAAAAAGGTAACAACTTGTATGAGGTATTATGATGGGAAAAGAGAGAACAATTTTTTATATTTAAAATATTACAAAATGAAGGACATTGGAGGCTATAGAATGACAGTGATTTCCAGAAGAGGCCAGGGTGAAGGCACCCATGAATGGGTCTTTGCTGAGGAGGAACTTTAGTACACAGGCTAGATGGAGAGCTGCTTACTCTATGAAAGGATGCAAAATCATTAGTGGTGTAGGATATCACACTGTGAACTCTGATTGTGTTAGTTACTGGAAAAACCTGGTTTTAGTAGTTATGGTGTAGCTCAGTTGTAGCATATACCTTTAAGAGATTTCTTCTTGAGTATTGTAAACAGGATTAAATAAAGTCAACCATAGGTCAGGAGGCAGAGCAAGCAACCAGGTGACAGGAAGTATATGTTGGATTATTAAGAAAAACAACAACAACAACAACAAAAAAAACGGCTGGAAGGATGGCTCAATGGTTAAGAACACTGACTGCTCTTCCAGAGGTCCTGAGTTCAGTTCCCAGCAACCATATGGTGGCTCAAACCATCTGTAATGGGATTCAATGCCTTCTTTTGGTGTATCCAAAGACAGCTACAGTGTACTCACATACATAAAATAAGTAAATAAATAAATCTTAAGAGAAAAACCCAGAGAAAGTTAAGAGGGAGTCAGGAGGACGGATGACAGAGAGACATGGACAGGAAGTAGAAGGGAGAGACTGAGTCTGAAGGAGGTTGAGACAGAGTGGCAGAGGGGATTCCTTGGATAAGGAGCAGGGTCAGCGGGGTGCCTTCTCTGCCTAGCTGAGTGTTTTCTCTGAGCTTGCAGTTTTCCACTCCAGCATCTTGTTCCTGAGTCTTCATTGGTAGAATCGAACAATGGAGATTTTGTTAAAAAATTACACATTAGGATTTCTACAGCTTTACTAGTATTTGCATGATTTCTTTTTATTTTATTCATCTTCATTTTATGTGTATGCATGCTTTGCTTACATGTATATATGTGTACTACTTATGTGCCTAGTATCTGTGGAGGCCTAAAGACGGTTTTGGTGTCCTTAGAACTGGAGTTACATATGGACCTGGGTCTTCTGTAAGAGCGACAACTGAGCCATCTCTTCAGCCCCATTGCTCGATTTCTTAATGTACTAAGGAATTTCTTACATGTGCTCTTTAACTCGTAGTCCCACCTCCCCCTTTGGGTTTTAGCTGTCCACAGTCCCCTGATTTCCACTGAAGTCTCAATCTTCCATAGGGAAAAGGATTTTCTGTGACACAGGAAGTTGACACGGAGTTATCTAGGGTTAGATAGCTGCTGAGAGTTTTACTTTCTAGGATGGACTTGATGATGCTGAATTAAGTCCAAGAACAAAGACAAACTTGATTCCAGAAGTGTTCTTCAAAGGGATAGCACAAGACAAGAAATGACTTTATCATAGTTTGCACAATTCTACTTAATGTAGTTAGGAAAGCAGAGAGTCTACCATGGCCCAAGTTTGCATTTTCCCTAGATCATATGTTACAACTTGAATTTCTTTTTATTGCTGGGAATTGAACTCAGGGCCTCATGCATACCAGACATGCACTTTCCTAAATAAGCTAAAACCTCATATATTCCTATGTTCATATAGTGAATTAATTCCCAATGTGGTAGTTGGGTAGGTGGGGCTTCGGGAGGTGATTTGTACCCTGCTAAATTGGCAGAGACTCACAGGAGATTGTTCATCCTTCCCCCATGTCAGGACAGCGAGGGCACCACTGATGATGAATGGATACTGAATTTGTTAACACTTGATCTTGGACTTTTAGCCTTCGAACTATGATAGTGAATCTCATTTGTATATTACCTAGGCTATGATATACTTTGTCAGCACTCCAGACATTCTGAGGTAGGCTTAGCACTATATCTTTTTGCTCTGTATTGAACTTCTATTGTATTTATATGTTTCTGTTATAACCCATCTCAAGCGTATCTTGTAACTTGCATGTGCATATGCTATGTGTGTGCGTATGTATAATATCTGTTCCCTTTATATACCCTGTGGTGACAAAATAATCAGAGAAAATGCTGATTTTTTCATTCTTAATTTTTCAGGTTGTTGCAAGACATGAAGATTTACTGGCACAAGCAACTGGGATTGAGTCTTTGGAAGGTGTATTTTCATTATCTGTTACACTTAGATGGGGCTAGACAGGAACCCACACGCTTTCTGAGCTTGAGGGCTGACTGGAATGTACTTTTAGATTTTGTTGGCCATATAGACTGTGCTGTAGACACTGAGCTCTACCAGAAAGATGTCAATCAACCAACAGATAATGTGAAAACAGACAAGGTGGCTATGTTCTAGGAAAACGTAACACTTCCTTAACTGTTCAGATCACTACTTGGAAAAGTTATGTTTGCTGTGTCTCAGTTTTCCTATGTGTGGCACAGATGTACTAATGTGTACCCAAATGGTATTATGTTAAGGATTAAATGATTGAGGAAAATGGTTAAAATAGCTTGTAAGTACTCCTATAAGCTTAGTTAATTAAAACAGTAAAAAAAAAATGAGTCTTGTTAGAATAGGTATTGGAATTGGGTGTGAATTTATGTATTTTTTCCTTTCTTTGACATTCTTATCAGTGGGAGTATAATAGACAAATAACACATTGGAGTTTTATTTGTGTGGCTCATGTTCGACTAAATCATTTATGAACTTTGCATTTTTCCTGATTACATTTTATAAGTATGAAAGTTACTATTATGTTTTTCATTATTACTTGCGATCTTAGTTAGAGTTTCTATTGCTGTGATAAAAGACCATGACCAGAAGTAATTCGGGGAAGGATTTATTTCAGCTAAAAATTTTTGTTTCATACTCTATCACTGATGGAAGTTAGGATAGGAACTTGAGGCAGGTTTGGGTGCAGGCGCCATGGAGGAGTGCTGTTCAGTTAGTCAGATGTTTCAGTTGTTGAACGTGTTCTCTCTGGCTCTCTCAGTTTGGTTTCTCATACACCTCAGGACCGCCTGCCAAGGCATGGTGCCATCCGCTGTGGACAGAGCTCATTAACATTAGTCAAGGAAATGCTCCTCAGGCTTCGTACAGTTTGGGTAGAGGCGTTTTCACCTGAGGTTCCTCTTCCCAGATAACCGTAGCTTGTGTCAAATTGAAAAAAAACAACCAGGACACGTAACTATTATTATTATTTTTATTTATTTTTACAGATTTATTTGTTTATTTTTTATGTATGTGAGTACACTGTCTCTCTCTTCAGAGACACCAGAAGAGGCATTGGATTGTATTACAGACAGTTGTGGGTCACCATGTGGTTGTTGGGAATTGAACTCAGGACCTCTGGAAGATAAGTCAGTGCCCTTAACCGCTGAGCCATCTCTCCATCCCTGGATAACTATTATTGATATTGGATGATATCTAGAGAAAGTTAAATGAGGATGTTGATGTGATACTCTAACAGTATTTTTCATTGTGTCAAAGAAATGAGCTTAACCCAGTATCTCTGGTGTCTAAAGTACCCTGTGAAAGGACTTAGTATTTTGGGAAGTGATAGTTTGATTGTTGACTTGAAAATCTGAGCTACATTCTTGAAGAAGTTAAGAGTCCTTAAGTATTGGTCTAATGTTGGAAATTATATTTTAATCTCTTAACTGTTTTATGAGTTTCGAAGAACAGGGGTATTTTAATGGTAACTTTGAAAGCAAATATTATAATTTTTACGTGTGAAATGATATAGTACATTTATTAGACTAGCCATTATAATAGAAATACTTCTCATTATGTCTTTAATCATTTAATTTTTTTAAATTTCATTATTTTTTTGAGACAGTCTCACAGTCTAGCCTTGGCTGCCCACAAACTCACTGTGTAGACTGGGCTCACCTCAAACTCACAGAGATCCACTTGCCTCTGTTTCCATAGTGCAGGGATTAAAGGAGTGGGCTACCACACTCAGCCTTGTTATGGCTTTCCTATGTGTCTATTTTTTATAATAATGCTTGCTTTTTCCAGGATACTTTTTGTTTTTCTGATTGTGAGTCTTAACCTTTAAAGGTTGAGCTATCTCTTCAGTCCCTTTCTCAGAATTCTCTTTTTCCTAAGTTTGTTTATTTATTTATTCACTTTACATCTAGATTGCAGCCCTGCCTCCTGCTGGTCTGCTCCTCACACAGCCCCTCCTCCTCCCTTCCCTCCTCCCTTCTTCTCTGTGAATGGGTCGGCCTCCTTGGGTATCAACCCACACTGGCACTGAGGCCAGACAAAACAGCCCAGTTAGGTAAACAGGATCCACAGGTGGGCAACCAACTGGAGAGCCCCCAGTCTAGTTGTGGTGGCACCCATATGAAGACCAAGCTGCACATCTGTTCCATATATGTGCGGGGGATCTAGTCAAGCCCATGCATCCTTTTTCATTGGTAGTTGAGTTTCTAAGAGCCCTTAAAGGTGAAGGTTAAGTTTACTCTGTTAATCTTCTTGTGGAGTTCCTATCCTCTTCCAGTTCCTCAATACTGTCCGTCCCCACCCTCACTCTTCCACAAGACTCCCAAGCGCCATCTAATGTGATGCTATATTGTGCTTGCAGACAGGACCCTAGCATGACTGTCCTCTGAGAGGCCCTACGAACAGCTGATTGAGACAAATGCAGATACTCAGCCAACCATTGGACTGAGGTCAGAGACCCCTATGGAAGTTAGGGGAAGGATTGAAGGAGCTGAAGGGGATGGCAGCCCCATAGGAAGACCAACAGTGTTAACTAACCCAGAATTCCTGAGAGCTCCCAGAGACTAAGCTACCAACCAAAGAGCATACATGGGCTGGTCTGAGGCTCCTGGCACATATGTAGCAGAGGGCTACCTTGTCAGGCCTCAGTGGGAGAAGATGTGTCTAATCCTATAGAGACTTGAGGCCCCAGGGAATGTTATTTTGAAATGCTGAAAAATGTACTAAGAAAATTTAATCATTAATCTTAACTTTGTCATCTTTCCCCCTGTATTTGAAAAAAACTCTGTAAGTAGTTTGGAGGTACAGCTATTCAACCTATTTTAAAGGAGAATTCATTCTCATTTGTTCAGTAGTTTATTTAGTTAATTAAAGGACAGTTGAGCACTTGTTTGATACCAGGTATATATAAGTAATAGACAAAACCCTTATGAAAGAATGTTTATTTCAGATGATAAGGCTGATTAAAAAAAGTACAAATAGAAAATCAGACATTTTTAAGTCCTATAAAGAAAGCCCATTAAGTGAAGGAAGGGGAGTTCCTATTATTTTTAATGGTCAGGGGAGGCTTTTCTTTTTTATTTCGAGCCAAAATCTGAAGGATAAGAAGGAACTGTCCTGTAGATATGGAGAGAAATTGTTGAAAGCTTAGGGAACAATCAGTGGAGCAGAAGTTTTTCTTGCTATGTCTCAGGGTTAGAAGCTAGGCCAGAAAGACTTCTGTGAATGAATGTAGTGAGTAAGGGAGAGAATCACAGATGAATTTGCTGTAATTTTATTTTGAATGCAGGAGTCAGCCATTAGAGAGTTCAAGTCAGAGGATTATATGACAAGGTTAGTGTTGTAAGTAATTTTCCCTGTTGGCTCTACGGATGACAGCATTGGTAGAATGAATAGCTGAGGTTGATGGTGCCTTGGGTTAGCATGGTGAATAGAAAAACAGTTAATTCGAGTAAAACTGAAGCAGACCTGAAAGGATTCATCGAGGGGCGAAAGCGCTGAGAAGAGGCGTCACAGTGGTTCTTTAGATCTTGGTTTGCTAAACTGGGTGTGAGTGACTGAGATAGGCATACTGTCCAGGAGTATGACTTGGCAGGCTTGGGATATTATAAGCAATACCTCTGACATAGTACATTTGACAGGCAGGAATTTAGGGCTAGAGGTTGTGTATGTCTGTGCACAGGATGATATAAAGAAGACCCTTTTCACCCCTCTTGATACATGTCTGTGTACAAAGTATATGTTACACAGTCATACAAAGTTAAGTCAGTTTTCATGGAAAAAGTAGCATTTAAACATTAAGACTGAATGAAGTCCTTGAAAGGATGTAAGTGAGAAGAAGGTGACTGAAGCCGAAGGTTTGAGAGATAAATCAGCACAGTTGAGCAGCTAGGGGGACAGTGGGAGGCCTGCACGCCATGGCCTGGAGAACGCAGCTGTGGACTCTAGCTGTAATACAGGAGTGAAGAGGGCACTATGGAAGATTCTAAGCAAGAATTCAATATGAACTTCTAAATATCACTTAAAGATTTTAGAAAATAATTGTAGCAAATATGTATAACATTAATTTGCCATACAGTTAAAAATTTAAACAAGTGCAGTTCCTAGTGTGTTTATAATCTTGTGCAGCCCTCAGCACTGTCTAGTTCTAAAGCTTCTTCACCATGCAAAGTAGAAATCTGTAAGCAGTAAGTAGTCATACCTAGTTTCCTGTCAGGCTTCTGTCATGGGCCAGGTGTCAGAGATTGAAGACTGGAGGCTAGTTGTCGGCTTTTGTAACTGAACAGAAAAGTTATATTGATTGCTTGCATCAGGATGATGATAGAAAAACATTAAGATTATATTTATGTAAATTTCTGTGTTTTATTTTTTATTTTTTTGGTTCAGTGTGAATCTTATAAATTTATAAACCCTATATGAGTTGTTATCTTTCCTAGGTGTTCTTCAGATGATGCAGACAAGAATTGGAGCTTTACAGGGAGCTGTTGATAGGTACTATTTTCTACTTTATAAATATATGAAATCTATTTGTAGCCATTATGTATATGTGTGTGTGTGTGTGTGTGTGTGTATGTATATTTTTAGATTACTTATTTGTTTGTGTTTGAATGAGATATATATGTGTGCATGTGACACCTGGAGTATATATGTTTATGGGTGTGTGCATAGAGGTCAAAGGTAGATGTCAGGTATCCTGTATCACTCTCTACCTTATTCCCTAGAGAAAGAGGCTCTCATTGAACTTGGAATGAGGATGCTGGTCAGCAAGCCCTAGTGATCCTCCCGTCTCCCCCTCTATAGCATGAGGTTACAGGTTTAAGCATAGCTGTGCCTAACATTTTACATAGGTGCTGAGGTCTGAATTCAGATCTTCATGATTATACAGCAAACATTCTTAGACACTGAGCCGTCTCTCCAGTCTCTCACTGATGTTTTGAAAATGATTTTATTTTCACTCTTTTTCCTTTTTTGGCCGTAGGATGAGATCAAAAATTGTTGAGCCATACAATAAAATTGTAGCCCGTACTGCTCAACTGGCAAGGCTCCAGGTAGGTTCTCACATCTGCTTCTTCTTTTATTTAAACTTATTTTTACAACCCACTGTAGTTTCCCCTCCTTCCTCTCTTCACAGTTCCTCCCTCCAACTTCTCTCCCCTACCCCCACCCAACCCCTCTATCCGCTCTCCTCCCTTTGTCTTCAGAAAAGGGCAGGGCTCCTGTGGATATCAGTCATCCATGACATACCAAGTTGCATGGCTAGGCACTCCCTCTTTTATTACGGCTTGGCACGGTAACCCAGTAGGAGGAAAGGATCCCAAAGGCAGGCGAGGGGGTCAGAGACAAGCCTGCTTCCGCTGTTAGGAGTCCCATAAGAAGACCAATCTACACAGCTAGTAGATACGTGTAGAGCACCTAGGTCAGTCTCATATAGGCTCTCTGGTTGGTGGTTCAGTCTCTGTGAGCCTCTGTGAGCCTCCGTGAGCCCAGGTTTGTTGATTCTGTGGGTTTTCTTGTGATGTCCCTGATTTCTCTACCTCCTACAATCATTCCTCCCCCCTGTTCCACAGGATTCCCCAAGTTCCTAGTGTCTGGCTGTGGCTCTCTGCATCTGATTGCATCAATTGCTGGATGAAGCCTCTCTGATAACAATTATTCTAGACACCAATCTATGAGTGTAGCAGAATCTCATTAGGAATTAGTTCATTGACTCTTTTTTTTTTTTTTTTTTTTTCCAGTCATGATTGGTTCTATTCTAGGTCTCTGGGCTATCCAGCCTCTGTGTCTTAGCTTTCCAAGTAGTGTCAGGGGTGGGCTCTCTCTCATGGCATGGGTCTCAAGATGGACCAGTTGGCTACTTCCACATGTTCTGTGCCACATTTACCCCAGTAGATCAAGTAGGCAGGACAAATTGTAGGTCAAAGGTTTTGTGCCTGGATTGGAGTCTCAGTCCTTCCATTGGAAGTCTTGCCTAGTTATAGGAGATGGCCAAGTCAGGCTCCATATTCCCCCCATTGCTAGGAGTCTTAGCTAGGGTTTCCTTCAGATTTTTGGGAGTTTCCATTGCCCTACATTTCTAGCTTGTCCCAGAAACGCCCCCTCTCCTGATTCCAGTTGTCTCTCCCAGTACTCTCTCCCTCCTATACTCTATTTTTTTATTTGATATTTCATTTATTTACATTTCAGATGTTATCCCCTTCCCCCCCCAAGTTAACCCCCTATCCCTTCCCCCCTCCTTCTGCTTCTATGAGGATGTGCCCCCACCTACCCCCAACTTTCACCTCCCCACCCTCCAATTCCCCCCCACACTGTGTCCAGCCTTCATGGGACCAAGGATCTCCTCTCCCACCTATACATGACAGGACCATCCTCTCTTGCATATACAACTGGAGCCATGAGTCCTTCCCTAAGTGCTCCCAGGCTGGTGGTTTAGACTCTGGGGGCTCTGGTTGCTCTCCTCTTGGGGTCGCAAACCCTTTCAACTCCTTCAGTCTTCACTCTTAACTCCTCCATTTGGAACCCCATGATCAGTTCAATGGTTAACTGTGAGCATCTGCCTCTGAATATGTTAGACTCTTACAGACCTCTAAGGACACAGCTATATTAGGCTTCTGTCAGCATGCACTTCATTTTTTCATTGTATAATTTTGGCTTCTTTATGAAAAATCAAGTGTCCAAGGTGTGTGGATTTACTTCAGGGGCTTCATTCGATTCCATTGATCAACCTGTCTGTTCATATTTGAATACCATGCAGTTTTTATTACTATTGCTCTGTAGTACAGCTTGAAATTAAGGATGGTGATACCTTTGGATGTTCTTTTATTGTACAGTGTTGTGTCAGCTATCCTGCGCTTTTTTGTTGTGTTTATGAAGTTGAGTATTTTTCTTTCAAGGTCTATGAAGAATTGTGTTGGAATTTTGATTGGACTTGTATTGAATCTGTAGATTGCTTTTGGTAAGATAGCCGTTTTTACTATGTTAATCCTACTGATCCATGAACATGAGAGATCTTTCCATCTTCTGATATCTTCTTTGAATTCTTTAAAGACTGGAAGTTCAAGTCATACAGGTCTTTCACTTGCTTGGTTACACCAAGATATTTTATATTATTTGTTGCTATTGTGAAGGGTGTTGTTTTCCTGATTTTTTTTTCTCAGCCTGTTCATCATTGTATATAGAAGGGGTATTGATTTTTTTTTTTGTTAATTGTATATCTAGCATGTTTCTGAAGTTGTTTATCAGCTGTTGGAGTTCCCTTGTAGAATTTTGGGGGTGGTTTATATATAGTATCATATCATCTGTAAATAGTGGTACTTTGACTTCTTCCTTTTCCTGTTTGTATCCCCTTGATCTCCTTTAGTTGTCTTATTGCTCTAGCTAGAAGTTCAAGTATTATATTGAAGCGACACAGAGAGAGTGGACAGCCTTGTCTTATCCCCTATATTAGTGGAATGGCTTTAAGTTGCTCCCCATTTAATTTGATGATGGCTATTGGCTTGCTGTTTCTTGTCTTTATTAAATGTAGATATATTCCTAGTATCCCTGATCTAAAAGTTTTATCATGAAGGGGTGCTGGATTTTTGTCAAAGGCTTTTTCAGCATCTAATGGGATGACCATGTGTTGTTGTTGTTTTTTTTTCTTTGATTTTGTTTATGTGGTAGATTACATTGACAGATATTTGTATGTTGAACCATCCCTGCATCCCTGCATTTTTTTTTTTTAAACTGAGTATTTTTGCATCAGTGTTCATGAGGGAATTTTTTTTTTTTGGTTTTTTGAGACAGGATTTCTCTGTGTAGCCCTGGCTGTACTGGAACTCACTCTGTAGACCAGGCTGGCCTCGAACTCAGAAATCCGCCTGCCTCTGCCTTCCAAGTGCTGGGATTAAAGGCGTGCACCACCACCGCCCGGCTCATGAGGGAAATTTGTAATTTTCTTGGTTGAGTCTTTGTATAGTGTCGGTATTAGGGTGACTGTGGCCTCATAAAATGAATTTGGCAATGTTCCTTTTGTTTCTATTTTGTGGAATAATTTAAGGAGCATTTGTGTTAATTCTTCTTTGAAAGTGGTAGAATTCTATGCTAAAATCATCTTGCCCTGGGCTTTTATTGGTTGGGAGACTTTTAGTGACTGTTTTCCTTAGGAGTTATAGGTCTATTTAAATTGTTTATCTGATTTTTAGTTAACTTTGGTTAAGTGCTACCTATTAAGAAAAATGTCCATTTCTTTTAGATTTTCCAGTTTTGTGGAATAGAAGTTTTTAGAGTGTGACCTAATGATTCTTTGTATTTCTTCGGTGTCTGTTGTTATGCCCCCTTTTCATTTATTATGTTGCTAATTTGGACATTCTCCTTTTGTCTTTTAGTTAGTTTGTCTAAGGAGTCTTATTTTTTTTTTAAGATTTATTTTTATTTTATGTATGTGAGTACTCTGTAGCTGTCTTCAGACACACCAGAATTGGGCATTGGATTCTATTACAGATGGTTATGAGTGGGAAAATTTGTCATGCCTGTGGTATATACAGGTGTCTATGCTTGCTTATGGAGGGGTAGAGGCCAGTTGATATGAAGTGTCTTCTTCTGTTGAAGTTATTCTTTGATAATTCAACACATGCATACAGTATATCCTGATTACATCTACCCCCACTTCCCCTTCTCTTCCCTAGAACTGCCTAACAGATACTCGTTTTACTTTCCTGTCCTGTTTACGATATTATTTTTTAAAGTTCACTGGATCCAATTTGTACAGCCTGCATGCACAGGAGTGTGGCACTATCCCTTGGAATCTTTTATGTTTTTAGGGACATGCTGAAGTCCTGTGCCATGAGTACTAAGGAAAGCTGCTAGATGATACTCTGCTCTGGCTCTGTAGAAACATACCGCTGTTCTTCCTTCAGGGAGACAGAGACACCCAGTTTATGAATGGGATTCCTACCCAGCAGTGGTGCAGGAAGGAATGGGTAATGGTGGTAGAACCTGCCTTACCACTGAAGAGAAAAGTAAATTATCTTCCCTTAGGCTGCCCCCCTGTGTCTGTTACTGGGCAGTTGGCATCAGACAAATGGCTGCTAAGTTGGGTTAGGATAGGTGAGGCAGCTTCTGTATCCAGTAAGTATTCTTTCTTCCTGCCTGCCATATTACATGTTATTGAGGCTTCACTAATGTGATACTGTACTTGCAGTGGAGCGTAGAGACCCTGTGGGCCTTTGCAGTTTATGCATGGATTGCCCCTCTTGGGAGACTGTGCCTAGGATGTTGCTCTAAGGGAATTGTTTCTAGCTAGCCCTTTCAGGGCTACTCAGCATAGTTCCTTTTCAACGCTCACCTTTCAGCTATATGTACACTGGTTCTGACTGGTGTGGCATGAAGCTCCTTGAGTATGTTTCCTGGAATTTTGTGGATTACTGTGGGATGGTGGTTGAACTAAAGCAGTGCATAGCTGCTTTTTCTTCTCTTGTCTGCTCCTCGCCTTTTTTTTTTTTCCTTCTCCCACTTATTTTTTCTGCTGTTGTCACCTCAAGATCTTCCTCTATATTTAAAATGGCGTTAGATACCTTAGCTCAGGCTTTTGTAACGTTCTCTAAATACCTGGGGCAGCTTTTATTATAAAATTTATAGCTATTAAGTTTCATGTTTCCACCAATTCTGATTTGGTATTGGTGATTTTCAGAAGGCCTTAATAGATGGTTGAGAAAATCACAATATTCTTTTTCTTGTCTTTGACCCTGTCAGAATTGACAGCTTTAAGTAGAATTCTCATTTTCTGTTGCAAGAGGCAATTTGCCTAGTTTCTTTACTAACTCTATGAATAAGGTCTTTGAAGTTCCAACTGGGACCTGTGTGGGGACCATTTTATTCCCCAGGTGTTTAGACATTCTGGGTTAGGGTGTTAACTGCTAGCTCACCAGCTACTTCAGTAGCTTCAGAAGAATTCACTCCTTTTCATTACAAGTATCAATAAATCAGTACTCCGATGACTTCCTGTTAAGATGGGGACAGGCATGAAGCTCACATGAAAGAATTCATTCTTGAATTTGAAGGAGACCCCCAT